CGCGAGCTCTTCTGGGCGCTGAGCATGATGCGACTTGGTCACATGTTTTTTCGCTCGATCTTGGGCCAAAGAACAATACTGTATGGACGTCAATTAGACTTCCCATTAAACTTCAAATTCAACACAACTTCGTTTTGCACAACACTTGGTGCAACAGATGCCTTCCTCTCAGGAGTGGCCTACTTTTCTTTGCTCTGGGAGACGGGCTGGAGTCGGCAAGATTTACAGCGTTGGGGTTGCTTGTATTCATTTGTGCAGACTTGTATACGTATGGCTGCCCTTGAGCGGCCCAGTTGCTGCTTGCTACATCATCCTTGAAAACTTGGCTTGTGGTCATGTGTTGTTTCTTGCTGCCTCTCAGACTTCTGCTCATTGCGATCAATTTGGCGGGTGGCACGCTGAGCTCTGCAAAAGAAGACAGCAAGCACAGTGGCGATGAAGCTCGATCGGTTGGATGACGGATTGTCTGAGCCGTGTGCGCATCTAGTTGTAGAGAAAAGCACCGCTGTGCAAGCAGTTGCAAGATATTCGTTCATGTGCCATGGCACTATATGGCTCCTAGGTGGTGCGCTGACGGCAAATTTGCAGCAAAGCATACTGCAATCCTCGGCGCACCAGGCCTCACGAGCCCTGTGCACTGTGGCTTGACGAAACTCTTCGTGTGTCCGATGCAACTGCAAGTCTCGAGGCACGTGAGGCACCCTCTGTACGTGGCCTTATGCTGGTGCAGTACGTCGCTTGGCAGGAAGATGGGAGGCAAAAGTCTCTTCATGACGGGTGGCCCTGTCGAATCGAGCAGGGTTGCTCGCTTATGCTCTAAGGCTGTAGCTTCCACTATGCTCCTACTGCAGACCTCTATCAGCGGCGCGCCTCGGCGTCAAAGCTCCGGAGTGGGCCCTGCAGTCTGCCTGTGCGATGCGGAACACCCGTCCAGCCGGTCGCTTGTGCCCACGTGACCTGGGTCACACGTGTGCCCGTGTCTAAGCTCGGAAACATAGCAAGGCCACAGGATTGGCTCGTCCTCGCCGTCCCGCGACCTCGCTGGTCACTTGTGCCCATGTCTGTTCTCAAAATCATAGCAGGGCCGCAGGAGTGGCTTCTTGTGACGCCAAAATTCGCGCTCCTGCCACAGTCTAGCACACGTACTGGAAAACCGTGGTCCCGCCACAGTCCACTGCGCTTTTTGTCCAGAGTTCATGCTTCCGCTGTACTCTTGGACTGTCTGTGTGCTAAAACGGAGTGAACCCCATGATGTGGTGTGCTAAGCTGGTGGCAACAAACGGTGATGCCCTGTGCCAAACCCCGAACGCCAAAAGGAGATGTGGTGTGGAAAGCCCTCAGCCCGTTCGGTGTGGAAGGCCCCCTAAGCAAATCCTGAGCCTCAAACAACAAAATATCCCAAAAGGATCTAAAAGGTGACGTGGTGTCACACACACACACAGACCTCTATGTGTGGTAATGAAGCGTTTTTCTATGTGTGGTCATGCGGCGTTTCTGCATGCACGAATGAGGTGCCTCGTGAGGGCGCCGTTCCTGTTGAAGTTGAAACACTTTTGACACGTACTGCCACTGCTCAAAGTGCGAAGCGGAGTCCTCGCGCATGCACCCCGCAGAACGCCATTCCAAGGGGGTTTGCATATGTTTGCATGTCATTTCCAAGGAAGGCGTAGCGAGCTGTGGGATTCTTCAATAAACAGGTGGTACATGTGGGCACAAACGTATCGAGGAGTTTTCCGATGCCTTCCGCTGGTATCTTCGGAATGGCACCGCCGCCTTCTACACGCTCTTGGACAATGTGCTCACATACTTGGGTCGCCGTCTCAAGCAATCAGAATCTGCGATGTGAAGAACCGTACAGTGTTTCTTTCCAACATCTTCACCCAAACGTTCATTGGCACTCCATGGATGCTCTGTGGGATACGGTGTTGGGACATCTGTGAGTGGGCGCTCTTCACGATTCCCTGCAGAATCCTCGAGGGCCTGCGCTCTCCAGGGACACTTCTCTAGGATTCTTTTTTTGGGAGTTGTTTTCTTTGGGCAGTGCGCGCTCCGGGATGCTCTCTGTGGAAACTAGGCTTCTCGGGGAGCAGGGGACCCAAGCCACATGAACCTGGAGTAGAAACGACCCCGGCGAGGCAAGCGCTGAGTTAAAAGTCCTCCACTTCCCCGCCGACGATAGTGCGCGCCACTGCGGCCTGCGGGAACATAAGCCAGCCCCCCCCCCCCCCCCTCCCCCCCCCCCCTCTCTTGTTCATGGCCCCCCCCCCCCCCCCCTCCCCCCCCCCCCCCTCCCCCCCCCCCCTCCCCCCCCCCCCTCCCCCCCCCCCCCCCGCCCCCCCCCCCCTCTTGTTCAAGGGGGGGGGGGCCCCCCCCCCCCCCCTTGGTCAATAACAGTGTTCTTAATAGGGTTTCACTTGATTTTTATTAACGTTTTAATAGGACTTCTTTTGATTCTAATCGGGTTTTTGTTACTTGTGAAAGATTTCTAATAATATGAATGAGATTTTTATCCCTTCTAATAAGATTTGTATTAGGTTTAACGGGATTCGTATTGAAATAATAGAAATCCTTGTCGAATTAAGTTCAACTCCTATTACAATTGATTGAACTGCTATTAAAAATTAGTAGAAGTCCGATTAGAAATGCTACGAAAAAAGAAGGCAAATAGAAATCTTGTTACATTAATAGAAATCCTCTTGAAATTAGAAGGATTCCGAATAAAAAGCAATAGGAATCCTACCAAACATGGCAGAGGAAATGTGGAATTGAGCATGGGGGGGGGGGGGCCCCCCTTTCTTTGTAGGGGGGGGGGGGGTGGGGGAGGGGGAGGGGGTTTGTTGGGTGAAGGGGGGTGGGGGGGGAGGGGGGGGGGGGAGGGGGGGGGGAGGGGGGGGGGGTTACCTTGAATATCCGCAGGCCTCTTTTTTACGCACTCTCCCGCCGACCGAGGGTCGGGAATGCGTGAGCGTTCGGCCCGAAATCCCGCGAACATGGCGAACCCTTTGCGGTTCTCAACTCAGGTATGCATCATGTTCTACTTACTGCTAGTGGTTCGTTTGCCAGGAACTGAACTGAACTGAGTCTTCTTGAGTCTTCTTGTGCTCTCTTGAAATTTACTCCGGGAGCGTGTAGAGATGCTCTGAGATGTGCTGTGCTTTTGGAGGGCCTGGCAGCATTGGTGCTGACCAACGTAGGACTTTGAAGTCTGATCTGAAGTATCAGTGTGCAATTGCGTATATTGCGTACTAATGTACTTTCCCGTGCTCGATGTTGTGTCAGGGCAGCTCAGGTCTTGAGGCTGTGATGTGCATCACAAAGGAGTTCGATGCCACGCGAGCAAACGTCGTGTGCTCCGGGAGGAAAGCGATTCTTGGTCGCAATGGTAAAGTCACGATTTTCCGAGTCTGCATATCACAGCTAAGGATAACCTTTGTATTTTCCTACTTGTTCTTCCCGAAGCCTTTCAACAATTTTCATGCGCTGCTTGGTACAGAGAGGTGATATCACTTTTGATGACTGCTCAACTTAGCAGGGCAATGCAGGGTGTTTTTTGTGCATGGTCAAGCATCTGCCGTCTCCTAGCGCGTGTGCGTCGTGCTCTGTGTGAGGCTTGGCCTTGTCCTGACAATCCTCGGCGGCTGGAATTTGCAGCGGACAAAGCACGAAAAGCACGAAAAGCGCGAGCGGCAAACCCAACTGCATCCCGGCATTTACTAGCGCTCTCTCTAGGACCACAGGTGAAAGAAACCTAAATCAGGAAGGATGTAGCACAGGACCGCACGACATCTCACCATTGATTTTTCGGGGAAAGCAGGGAAGCGTGGCTGACAGAGGTGAGCATTCGATGGATATAGTTTAAAGAAGTCAGCGTTATCTTGCACAAAGTGCATGGAGCCTCGGGAATAGCAAGGCATATGTGGAACATATCTAGCGAACGGAATCACAGATTCTGCAGTTTCCTGGCGTTCTTGTTCATTGATGTGCGACCCAGTGCCCAGTCTCTAGTTAGTGCAAGCTTCCATTACCACTATCTCGCGATCTCTCATGAGTTCCAAGATAGTGAGGGTGGGGGAAAACTGACGTCCAACATCGAGTTCGAGAATGAAACCTCTTCCTTCTGCGCTGACATTGGATAGTGGCCGGAATGTGAAGATCTCGATGTCTCACTCGGACTGTCCGTACATGTGCAAACCCCTGTAGGGGTCCAGAAATCAGTTTAAAACCTACGGGGGGCGTGCAGTGTAACTAGGGGTCGTGCAGTGTCAATGCCACGTCGTATGTTCATGCCACGTTGAATTTTCATGATTTTGTTCGCCTGTTTGTTTTGCTGTCCGAGGAAAACGGAGTCATGACCCGATGGAACACGCAACGTGAGCTTTTAGCAGCGATTCTTCTTTGTTTCCATTAAGATCAAGTGAGAAAGTGTATGGTTGCTTGTGATTCTACGTCAGATTCTATGAAGATTTCAGGGCCCGAATATCAAGCATAAATTGGGGGTAGTAAATCGGGGTTCATCCTGTTCATGAGACACTAATTCCCCCTTTCTACGGTCAGCTTCTCCTGTTCATGGTCAGTTTCAATCTGGTCTAGAAACCGTACCATCATGAGTCTTTCTACGTGACAGGAACTCTCTTGACAAGGAACCCCCATTCACAGGCTAACCACAGTATTAGTATGAGCGTCATGAGTGCTCCTTTCCAGCCTTATTGTTAGTACTGTTCCCCCGTTAACCAATCATCCGGGCTGGAACTACGAAGAAAGAAACGAATAAGGGAACGAATGTACTGAGTCAGCGCAATGAGTGTACGAACGCAGTACACACCTTGAGACCCTGTTAACGCCTGGTCTGGATAACGCTCGTCTTTTCATGAGTCTTACCGCTGGAGCTGGAACTAGATGCATGAGTCTTCTGTCTTCATCTCCAAGTCTAGGGTCTTTTCCCCATTATTATAATACGGGCTTTAAATGCGCGAGCTTATTTAATGTACGCCCGTAATATAATAATAGGGGCAATCGTATTCATTGGACTTCTTCGTGATTTCTCGAATGGGAAAGTTGAAGGATAGAATCTCTCTCGTGTGTTATGGGAACATAAACCTCTCATAAATCTTAATTTCGAAGAGATCCATCGATTCCATCGATGGAATGGTGAAAGTGTGGTCGTCCTTCCTTGAATCATAATCCTCATTCGTGTGAGAAATTTGGCCAGTCAACAATCTCCCCATCGTCCTTGGGTGAAACGAGAAGGAAATCTGGTCCCTTTAGGCGCCAGGATATACACCTTCCAATATGAAACCGAGAGAATCCCGATTGACTCTGGGGCTGGGCACTCCGGGGACACTCTGGGGCTGGGGTTGGGCACTGCAGGGAGACTCTGGAGCTGGACACTCCGGGAACGCTCTGGGCTCGGGCACTCTTGGGGACTCGTTGGGCACTCCAGGGAGACTGGCACTGGGACACTCTGAATAAACATTTTGGGTTGCACCAGTGTGGGGTTGCTAGATTTTAACCTCAACTCTTCTCTTCGCCCGGACTTCTCCTCGCCCGGTCTACTCCTCGCTCATCCCTGGAGTGCCCAACCCTAAAGTGTCCCAGCCCCAAAGCCAGAGTCTCCCTAGAGTGCCCAACCCCAGAGTGCCCCCAAGCCTGGAGTGCCCAACCTCAGAGTCTCGCCTGGAGTGCCCAACCCAGAGTGTTGCCCAAGTGCCCAGCCCCAGTGTGTTCCTGGAGTGCCCAACGAGAAGAAAAGTATCTCTACCAAGAGAGGATGGGGATGTTCGAAGACAATTTTTTTTCACGATTCCGGAGGCACGCTAATCAGGATACAACATTAGGGGGCCCGTGGGGTCCGGGGCAGCGGCCATCCCAAAGAACACTGCAAAAGCTAAACGTACATGGCTTAAGGCTTAAGTTGTGGACCAGTTGAAAGCCATGCACGCAGGTGGCACAACTGTGAGGGTGTCTTGCCTACGCTGATTTTCATCCTTGCCTTGCTATTGGAAGTCGCATTGGCAGTAGTTCTCCACCCTCCCCTGAGCACACTTGTTGCTCAAGTGATGCAGCATATGCCTGAACATGTCTCAACCATCTCAACTTTGTGTTGTGTCGTGGCATGTGCATGCAGTTGACTGATATTGGTTGTGTCAGATCAAGAACTTGCAAAGCACAAAGAGTTCAGCCTGAACCGACTGTCATCGATTTAGTGCTCTTCGGAGCCAGCCTGGGAGAAAAGAGTATCATCAAAGTATCACTCAGCACCATGGCGAATGGCCAGGAAAATCAGGCGCCTTGGTGCGCAAATGGTGTCCTAAGTGTGGTCCACACGCTACGCCGCTACACGTGGTGTGACCTTCAGGATGCCCCAAGCTTCGGCATTGCAGAGGCTTGGGAAGCTCAGCATAGCTCAGCTCATTATGTCCTTGTTCGTTTCGAATGCGCGCCTCTCTCTGTCCCTCTGTCCTCCTCCCGCCTGTGCTGCAACGAGTCTCTGACCATATTCAGGGCTTCAAGGCTAACGGTTCAGAGAAGGACTTAAGCCTTACAGGGCCTTCTTGATGTAACGTTGCGGCTTGTAAACGCTTGTGCGCAACCGCCTCGGCAGCCGGGCTGGCCCAACGCGGGGTGGCGCGGTGCATCGCAGAGAAGAAAAGCCAGTTCTGCGACTGGAAGGGGGTTTGAAGGGGTCTGGAGAGGGTCCCAGGGCCGGGAAAGGTTGGGGAAGCGGCGGATCATGATGTTGCCGCAAGGTTGCGACTTTCGATTCGACAATGCAAAGCACAGGAGTTCACCGCTCAGAGACTACAAGTGTTCGTGGCACCTGCAGTTGACAACGATGGCTCCTGGAGTCTTTTGATTCCTCTGATGTTTCTCCAGGCCTTGGCCGTGCAGAGCCGACTGCCACCGGGTGTGCGGACCTTGCCATGAAAAGGCAATAAGCACTGTAAGCACTGTCACAAGGCCTAACAGGGTGATCCTCACCAACGGCAGGGAATTTGTAGTCTTGTGCTTGTATGTGGATGGCTTTGATCAAACCCTGATCTCAAGAAGCTCCTTTTGACTGCGGGGCTTGTTGCGCGAATACGTGTTTGCGCCATAGGCAGTGAAGACGAGCTGAGCAATGCAGCATCTGTGGACAGGCGAAATGTCATGTGCAGAGTTCGGACTCTTGCTGACCCCTGCTTCACCACATCTTCAGGTGCAAGAAGTCACCGAGCAACTGGCAGAGTTTTTAGTGAAATTTTAGGCCAGGATTTTCTGCATGCTCCTTCAAATCCAAAACGAGATCGGCCCTGTCAGTTTCCGATGAGCAGTATGCTATCTTGACGCCGTCCTTTCCATGCTGCTGCAGCCTCATCTTTTGGACAGGAAACGTAGTTGCGACAGCAAGATAGCTTGATGGGTGCTTGATCATGGCGTCGCAAAATTCTATGGACTAGGTGCATTCTCGCTTGTGCTCGTATCAGTGCATAATGGTGCAAGTGAGTGTTTCCCTCGGCCAAGGGACACCGGAGATGAGTATGCAGGGCTCTTTTGCAGTCCTTGTGCATTGCATGTACGTTTTCGATATGCACACATGGCAAGCAGCGACAAAGCATCCATATCAGGTGGAGCCGCACATTGATGAAGCTCGGAAGTTCATCTGGCGCTGCTGCGAAATTTGATCAGAAACAGCTCTAATCAAGCAACATCCATGGAACAATTCGCATGGGCTGTTGGTTCGGCTGTTGTTTGAAATCAACGGATAACTTGTCTATTGAATTCTACTGACATGCGTTTTCCGACGTACCTTTTAGTAGAAAGATGAGGTGGTGGGGGAATGGGAAGGGTTTTACTGTTGCATTGCAGCGGAGCATGCAGGGCTTCAGCTTTTTGTAACAACAAGACCTGCCTCCACCTTAGTGCAGGGACTTAAGTTCTGACAGTGCCCGAAGGTCCGGGGTGGGCGCTAAGAACCTGCAACGAAATGCAAACACGAGACGCGATTCACACGATTCGCTGAACTCTGAAGAAGAAGCGTTTCTGCTTGAAATCTGACGACAGCAATGGAACAGTTCGACGCATGACTGGCGCGCTGACACTCAATCTGTTCTTACAGCCAGAAGCAAAAGCGGAGAATCTGGTGCAAACTTCGGAGAAGAGGAGTGTGTGTTGTCTTACACCCCAAACGCCTCCAACCGCCCTACATGACAAATGCTCGGGAGGCGGCGGCAATGGGCTTGGGATTGACTGTCCTATCAAGTTTGGATTTCTCTGCTGTGCTTTTATCAGCTTTGTGTGAAAACCCTAAACAACGCATGAACGAATCTGCTGGGTTTCTACGCAATGACATGAAGCAAGAGCGTTCTTGTGCAGATTGTTTTGCTGTATAAACTGAAATCCGCAGAGTGACAGCAAAAACCGGCCAGCACTACCTCGCTGTTTTTCTCGCAGTGCGAGCGAGATCTGATCCTGGACGCCTTGGTCGACTGAATGCTTCGGGTTTGACTGTCCTGCAAGTGTGGGTCGGGCTATTAGGGGACACACATTCCCTAAGGCGGTGCGTGTACAGACTCAGATCTGTTCTGCACAATCTCCGCCTTGTAACATTTTAACAGCGCAGGAGAAGTGCGACCCGCGTTTGACACCGCCTCCCTCAACTCAGCTACAGAGTTGAAACTCGGTGAGTAAGATTTTGTTTTCCCTGAGTCAAGATTAGTCTCGGATCACCTCTCACGGTT